AATAATTACCATCAAATACGACCGCTCGCAATTTATCATCTAACTTAAATAATAGAGTACTTGGCGCGGATGCTACTATTCGTCTGCACCAAAGCAACATAGTTCCATACTGCAGCAACATTATGCTTCGCCACATTATATCGCACCATGCTGGTATATGTTGTCACATTGCATTATGTTGATGTCGCACAACAAAAGTTAACATTTGTTGTGTGTTTCGCTTTGGAGCTGATCAAAGAAAAATGTAAAGCACACGCCAACGCCAACATTCAGCAACATGAACAGAAATTGAAGTCGGTGTGGACGCTTCGTCATAAGATATTGCAGTTGGTTTATTCTGCATGCATGAATATGCTGATTTATGCGTCAGGGGGGGAGGGGGATATTTTTCTGACAGAAAGATTCATATCAGAAACTAGGCAAATGGAGAAGCTTTTCAAAATTGCCACCTAGTTGGAGTTTTCCCCAAATATTTTTACAATATATTTCTTCCTTATATTTTTCGAATTTTTACAGTTGGGCGAAGCTAGCATTTCCTTTCTTCGTATATTTTTTTGAAAAATGAAAAAAAAAAAAAAAAACAGCAGCGGACCCAATAATCAACTCATTTTTGTCCCACAGCATGGATGCATTTTTCATGCTCATTTTTTTAAATAAATGATGTTTTAGTTCAGGAATTTCAAGTAGGTACGGCTTTGTTACCAAAAAAGCAATTTTTGACTTAGAACGTTTGTATGTGTTGTGCTGGTGTACACACGTTATTAAATCCGGATTTATGTTACAAAAACTAATACCAACACCATCAAACAATATTGTTTTATTGTGACCAAAGTTGTTTAAAACAATTTTCCATATACAGCTGCAGCATCCCTGCTTAAGTCCCTAAGTTGCTGTGGATGCTTTACTTATTATGATAGCCCGTTTAACCTTGGTTTTTGTGCCACTATAGAGCATTTCAGCTGCCTTCATTTATTAGTTGATATTGGTGTTTTCTGATGCTTCTCATATGCTTTTTTTAGATTAGTATCAAACGAAGTTCAGGGTCATACGCTAGTTTCTTTTTCATCTCCTGGGTCAAACCAAATAAGTGATATACTATTTATCTTCCTTCTCTTAAACAAGTCTGCTTCAAATTCTGATAGGTATATACAACACAGCAAAAAAAGTTTTGCACTATCTCATTCCATACATAATATATTCAGTGATATCTAAATTAAAACATTATCAATAAAAGGAAGTCAAAAATTTCAGGGGGATGTATAAATAGAAAACTTAAACATAGTATCAAATTTTCTTTGATCGCAGACAGATTCATCTACATAATACTTCAACTAAACAAGAGGTACAGACTACAGCTTATCTATGGATACGCGACAACAAGCAAAACATAGAGATGGAAACTTTCCTGGAAGATTTATCAAAGACAATGGAATCAGAGAAATGCCACTACAAAATTATAAGTGGCGAGTTTGATGTAAAAATGGGTGGAAGCATTGTGGAGGAAACACTGCAGATACTTCTTCTCAAATGCCCTAATGAAGCAAGAATACCTGGCGGGTGGCGTAACACGGAAGTAGTTCTACTTTTCAAGAAAGCTCATAACATCAACATAAACAACTACCGACCAATCAGCCTTCTATCATACCTATATAAACTTCTTAGTGATATTATCAATGATGAGAAACCGTCGACCGTCGTACTATTTGTATTTTGCCTACAGGCACAAAACTTGGATTGGTTTTCTTTGCTTTTCCTAGCCATGCTGATGAGACCTGATAGGTCGAAACGCGTCTATGGATGGAAAAGCAGAGAAAATCAATCCAAAATTTTCTCATCAGGGATAATAGGTTTTCCTATTCTGGGTTTTCCCACGAACTGAATTTTGGTGGGCCGATTAGATAGTCAATCACTAAATTACAGCAAAAAATGCTGTTTAGTGTTGAATCTTTGTCTTAGATGGCGCCACGATCAAATTTCGACCGTCGTAATATTATCAATAACACATTCACCAACAAGTTAGATGCCTACCAACCAGTAGAATAGGCGGGGTTAGGAAAGGGGTATTGCACCGAAAACCACCTCCAGGCAGTAAGTAACATCAATAGAAAGAACAACTGAATATAACATACCTCTATTACCTCTACACTTAGCATTCGTAGATTTTCGTAAGGCATTTCATGGACGATGCTAGAATGGATTCCCGATATACAAAACTTCTAAAATACATATACTGTGTGACATAGAAATTGCAACACCCAGTAAATGTAAATCTATTTTATTAATATTTTGGGAACTAGTTGGGATAAAAAATATGAACAATTGATGACATTTAAAAAAAAAAATTATTGAAAGGAATTCTTAACAATTCAATAGTGAGTGGCGCTTTTACGTAAGTTTTCACATTCTGTTCTTCGTGGCATGCTGCGAATCAGATGATCGATATCTGCGGTAGGTTCTCCCAAACTAATCTTACCTCATGACGTAGACGTTGTACATCCAGTAGATGTGGCAACTGTCCCAGCCATCTACCTATCACATCCCCTGCATGTTCAATAGGCGATAAGTCTGGTCTGGGCCATGGAAGAAGGGTTACATTAGCTTGTTGGAGGTAGTTTCTAGTAACTGCAGCGGTATGTGATCTCACATTCTTATGTTGAAAAATTGGATCTTGCAGTTGCTGAAGGTAGGGCAACGCGCGAGCGTTCATGTTTCTACCAAAAAAAATAAGAGGTGACCTGTTTCCAACTGCTATGGGACCCCAAGCCATAAGGACCCTAGTAAGCGCACTCTCACGCTCCGTGCAAAATTGAAGTTGGTGTCTTTCTCCACGTCTGCGACGGACACTTGTACGTTGCCCTACCTGGAGCAACTGCAATATCCAATTTTTGTGACCACATATCGCTGCAGTTACTAGAAGCTTTCTTCAGCAAGGTGATGTAAGCCTACTTCCATGGCCTGTTAAGTTACCAGACTTATCGCCTATTGGACATGTCTGGAATAAGATAGGTAGAAGGCTGAGACAGTGGCCACGTCTTCTGCTGGATGTACAACATTTACGTCATGAGGTAAGATTAGCCTGGGAGAACCTACCATAAGCAGATATCGATCATCTGATTCGCAGCTTGCCACGAAGAGTTAGAGAATCAAATCAAAACTTACATGGAGGCGCAACTTACTATTGAATTGTTAGGAATTCCTTTCAATAAATTTGTTTGAAAATGTCATCGATTGTTATTCATATTTTCATCCTAACTACTTCCCAAAATATTGATAAAACATATTTACATTTACTGGGTTTTGCAATTTCTATGTCGCTCAGTATGAAAATGCCACCTTTCATATCGAAAATGAAAACCTGACAACAGATAAAATAAGAATTAGGAAAGGCGTGCGCCAGGGAGACACCTCTCCCAAACTGTTTACCTTGGCGTTAGAGAACATATTCAAAACACTGGCTTGTGAGGCTAAAGGTATCAATGAGAACGGAATTTTTCTAAACCGCCTATGATTCGCCGACGATATTGTCCTCATTAGTAGCGCTATTCATGAACTCAACATACCTGTTAGGCCAACTGAATGACGCGTCGAAAAAAGTCGGCCTAAGAACGAACCTTTCTAAAACCAAGATAATCAGCGAAACGGAAGATATTTGTAACAATATACGATACGACTGTAGAAAACGTTGACGCATATGTCTACTTGGGGCATACTATCAAAATTGCCAAAGAGAACTAAACTGCTGAAATAAAACATAGAAAGATACTTGCATGGGCAGATTTTAGCAAGCTGAGCTATATATTAAAAAACAGAGAGATATCAATAAACTTAAAGTGGAAAGTCTTTGATACATGTAAACTGCTGGTAGCAACATACGGTTTAGAAACAATGGCTATAACAAAAAGAAGTTCTGAGTTATGCAAAGAGCAATGGGGGTCCGCGCATCATGCTTGGAATCAATCTGGAAGATAGGATCAGGGATGAGGAAGTCCGACAAAGAATTAAAGTCGTGGATATCACGAAGCGTATCTCAGAAAGCAAATGGCAGTGGGTGGGGCATGTGGCCAGACAGCACCATGATAGTTGGACAGCGCGAGTAATACATTGGCGACCAAGACAGACCAAACGTAGAGCAGGCAGACCCCAAGAGAGGTGGCTGGACGATATCAAATATATTGCGGAGAAAAGATGGTTCCAAACAGCACAAGACAGAAAGGCATGGAAACGGATGGAAGAGGCCTACGTTCAGGAGTGGACAAAAGAAGGCTGAAGAAGAAGAAGAGGTATTGACATATTATGGTGTTTAAAGACTACGTTCCATCACAAGGACGTCTTGGATGTCAGCCTTCCATACTGATTATCCTACATTCATTCAGTATAAGATTATTTCACATTCAATAAAAAAGCAACATGAAACTTTGACTAAAGGTGTTCGCGCCGAGTACTTTGAAATAAATGTGGATTTCAAGCCTAGTGAAACAGTGATTAAATTAATCTATTTTGTTCACCCGCTGTTGCAAGTAGGAAGATTTCTTTTGTTATGACATTTCAATACTATAAATTATGTTATCCTTTTGTGTAATATCATTGGTGTGAAGACAAATGACAGTTCTGATTGTCAGGTCAATAATTATGTTCGATATTCGTTGTTGTTACCAATTAAAAGTTCAAGTTGTAACATAACCTTTTTTGCAGCTAGTAAAATTTTGCAAAAAATCAAGTAATCTTTTATTTTAAAAGTAAAAAAGTTGAAATACAGTCCCCAGTACATAACATGGTCCATTCGAGCCAATGGATATTGAAGAAAAAGCAGTAAAATCTAGTTAAAAAGCCAAAAACAAGTTCAATTTTGGCTCCAAGAAGCACTTGGTGAGTCCTTTCCAGTTTATTTTACCTTTTTTCTCAATTTTACCATATCCAAGTTTTCCTTTTTAACTGGCCGAGGTTAAAAAATAGTTAGCCAATTTTTATGCACAAGTTTTAATCAAGTATTGCACCATAAAATGGCAGAGTCACTAGGTAGGAGGCGAGGCTCTTTGAAAACCTCCCTCACAAATTTTGTAAAGTATGTAGACAGTAAGCGAGGCCAGGCCATGTTAACTGAGTCTGACCTTCTTCAATTAGAGGAGAAAATTGAAAGAATTAAAGTAGTTTATGACGAGTTTAATGAGGTACAAAACCAAATAGAACTAGCTGCATCCGATGATAATCTCGAGAAAGAATATGAGATTCGTAGTGCTTTCGAAGACACTTATTATAGTCATAGGTCCATTGCCATGTCCATATTGGGACCAAGAGAGGTAAATGCGGCTACAAGTCAGCACTCTGGTCAAAATTCAGTAGTTTCGGAAGCAGCTAATTCTACCACAGGTTTGCAAGGAGTTAAGCTGCCAGTTATTACCCTCCCCAAGTACCAAGGCAATTATGAGAATTGGTTAGAGTTTCGAGAGACATTTGAGTCTTTAGTTCACAACAATGAATGTCTGAGCTCAATTCAAAAGTATCATTACCTAAGAGCCTCTCTGGAAGGTAGTGCAGCCTTGGTGATTAAGGCGGTTGAATTTACAAGTTCCGGTTATGATGTAGCCTGGCAAGTTTTAAGAGACAGGTACAATAATACCAAGCTTTTGATCCATAACCACATTAAGTTAATTTTCGATTTAGAGATTATTTCTAGAGAATCTTCTTACAAACTGCGAAAATTGATTGATGATTTATCTAAACATCTAAGATCCCTCGAGCAATTGCAACAGAATATAGGAAATTGGGATCCTCTTTTAATTTTTCTCATTGCAGGAAAGTTAGATGCAAAAACGTTGGGTGAGTGGGAAAAATATTCCGTTAGCTTGAGTTCCCCCACACTAGATGAATTAAAAACATTTTTGCGCAATCGTGCAGACTTATTAGAAACCTTAGAGCACAAATTAAGTTCAAGTAAGCCAAATTTTGAAGATAATAAGCAAAATAAAAAAGATTTCAGGCAAGGTTCAAAATCTTTGGTTTCTTCTAATTCTGCTGCAGGGTTTTCTTGCTTTTATTGTAAGAATAATCATTCAATTTACAAATGTGGGGATTTTTTGGGATTACCAACTGAAAAAAGAGTAGATTTTGTTGAAACAGCTAAATTATGTAGAGTTTGCCTTTTAAATAGTCACTCGAGTAAAAAATGTAGGGCCGGCCCCTGCAGAAAATGCAGGGCCTGGCATAACACGCTCCTGCACCCTGAAAGTGAACCAGCTAGTACTCTCAATTCTCAACCAGGTAATGCAAGTTCAAATATTATAAATTCGTTGGCCAGTGGCGTAGACAATCCAGGTTTTTACAAAGTTTTGTTGTCTACAGTTAAAGTTATAGTTTTTGACCAGTTTGGCCAACCAGTAACGGTACGTGCACTGCTCGACTCCGGGTCGCAGTCCAGTTTTATTACCGAAGAGTTATCTAATCGCTTAGGACTTGAAACCAGTACTGCAAATTTGAATGTTTTGGGTATATCAAGTAAGGTTTCCACAATAAAGCAAAAATGCGTTGTTAATATAAGTTCTCAGTACAATAATTTTAAAGCTAGCATTATATGCTTCGTGCTGTCTAATATTACTAGTATGACTCCGTCTTGGGGGGTTGATGTTAGGTTTTTGAATATTCCTGAGAATTTGCAGCTAGCGGATCCTGAATTTAATATACCTGCTCCCGTTGACATGTTGATAGGAGCAGAGCTGTTTTGGGTCATAATTAAGTCTAATAGGATCATTTGCGGTAAAAACAAGCCGGAATTGCAGGATACTGTGTTGGGTTGGATCGTTTCAGGGCGTATTAGCAACAACCGTGTTGATCATGACACATCTTGTAATTTGAGCACAAATCAAGAGTTATGCAAGATGTTGTCAAAGTTTTGGGAAACTGAAGTGGTCGGTGTTGTCAAATCTTTGTCTCGCGAAGAGCTCGAATGTGAGCGCATTTTTGAACAAACAACTCAAAGGGATTCTCACGGGCGATTTATAGTTACTCTTCCACTAAAACAAGATCCTAGTGTTTTGGGCCAATCGCGCGCGCAAGCTCAAAAAATGTTTTATAGCACAGAGCGCAGACTAAGTAAAAACGAAAAATTAAGAAGTTTGTATAACGATTTTCTTTCTGAATACTTGAGTTTAAAGCATATGAGTTTGGCGGATGATCAAGTTAGCATTGCTCATGAGTATTTTATGCCTCACCATGGGGTTTTGCGTGAGTCTAGCAAAACTACGCGTTTGCGAGTAGTTTTTAATGCATCTTTCCCCACTAGTAATGGTCTCTCGCTCAATAGTATTCAATATGTTGGTCCCGTCTTGCAAGAGGACCTGTTGTCAATTATTTTGCGATTCCGACAACATAAATACGTTATATCTGCTGACTGTGCCAAGATGTACCGACAAGTGGTAGTCAACCCAAAGCAAAGAAAATTACAAAGTATATTGTGGCGTGCTAGTCCTGATAATGCACTAAATTCATATACGCTTAATACAGTAACCTACGGCCACGCGTGCGCAAGCTACCTAGCCATCCGCTGCTTGTTTGAATTGGCAAATGAATGTCAAAAATATAAGCCAGACATTGCGGAAATCATACGTAGAGATTTCTACGTAGACGACTTGCTCACCGGGGCGGATACGATCGAGCATGCGCAAGATATTTGTCGCGAAGTTTCAGCGGTTTTGCGAAGCGGGTGTTTCGAATTGCGAAAATGGTACTCTAACGAACCAGAAGTTTTGGTGCACATTGAAAATACGGATTCTCCTTGTGGAATTATCGAGTTTGGTCCCGGGGAAAACGCTAAAACGTTGGGTTTGATTTGTTCTGGTCAGAATGACAAATTGCTTTATTCGTTAGAAGACATTGACATTAATAAAAAATGTACCAAGAGGCTTATTTTGTCAGTGAATGCTAAAATCTTTGATCCTATAGGTTTGGTGAGTCCTGTTATCATTGTGTCAAAGATTTTAATGCAAAGTTTATGGTTCGAAAAATTGGGTTGGGATGACGCTTTACCCCAGCATTTATCTGACAGGTGGTTCAAGTTTTTGAGCGATTTGCCAAATTTAAAGGATCTGTCTGTGTCCAGAAAAGTAGTTTGCGACAATGCGCAGCAAGTAGAATTGCACGGGTACTGTGACGCAAGTGAGCGCGCCTTTGGAGCATGCGCGTATGTCACAAGTACTGACAACGACGGCAAAGTACATGTTCACCTGTTAGCTGCTAAAAGTAAGGTGGCTCCCATCAAAACAATCAGTATACCGCGTCTCGAGTTATGCGGCGCATTAGTTCTCTCAAGGTTAATGGACAAAATTCGAAAGTCAATGACTCTTAAGTTTGAAAATTATTTCTTTTGGTGTGATTCGAAAATAACTCTTGCTTGGATAAACACAATTCCTAATTTATTGAAAGTTTTTGTCGCAAATAGAGTTGCGGAGATTCAAAGTTTGTCCAACGAGCGGGAATGGCGCTTTGTTCCCACCGAAGATAACCCAGCAGATTTAATTACAAGAGGGCTCTACCCTAGTGAGTTATCAAAATCTCGTATTTGGTGGGAGGAACCTGCTTGGTTAAGCTTAGAAAAGCATGAGTGGCCGGTTTCACAATTTGAATTAGGTGACTTACCAGAGCTAAGACAACAGACTTGCGTTGCGGTACAGGCGTGTCCAGAGGAGTTTTTTCCTTTCGAAAATTTTTCAGTTTATAGGCGACTATTGAGATCCGCTGCGTACATTTTGCGTTTTATAGAAAATTGTCGGAAAGTAGAGAATGATTGTGCTATGGAGTCTCTATCTAAACGAGAGTCAGATTGCGGACAAACGGCTTTGATAAAAATGGCACAAATGCAGTCTTTTTCTAGGGAAATTTCAGATTTATCAAAAAACCGCAAATTAGACAGCAAAAGCAAGTTGCTAAATTTAACACCCTTCTTAGATACCGACAAGATACTGCGCGTTGGCGGCCGATTGGAGCGTTCGGATCTAAGTTTCAATAAAAAGCATTAGTATTAGATTCGCTTCATCATTTTACAAAGTTATTGTTTGTTCATGAGCACCTTTATCAGTTACATGTAGGTCCTCAGAACCTATTAGCCTTTATAAGAGAGAAATTTTGGCCAGTGGGGGGACGGAACTTAGCACGTTCTACCGTTCAAAAGTTTGTCAAATGTGCCAGATTTTGAGGCAACACCGTTCAGCCGTTAATGGGCAACCTTCCACGAGAGAGAATCGCTCCCTCCCCTCCATTCACCTGTGTTGGGATTGATTATGCTGGTCCTTTCACGGTGCGCCACGGATTAAGCAGAGGGCGCGGCGGAAAATTGGAAAAATGTTACATTGGTTTGTTCATCTGCTTTTCCACTAAGGCTGTGCACCTCGAGTTAGTTTCGAGTCTTTTCACATTTTTACAAGCTTTAAGACGATTTGTGTCTAGACGTGGAAAGCCGAGCAAGATTGTATCAGATAATGGCAAGAATTTTGTTGGTGCTTTTCATGAGCTGGATAGGTTCTTAAGTATGAATCAAGAAAACATCAAGTCAGCAGGTGCTAGCGAGGGCATAGACTGGCAGTTTATCCCTCCGTACTCGCCCCATATGGGAGGTTTGTGGGAGTCAAATGTGAGAAGTGTAAAGTCCCATTTAAAACATGTCTTGGCCAACGCTCACCTTACTTTTGAAGAATTCAGCACCGTATTGTGTCAGGTCGAGGCTATTTTAAATTCTCGGCCTCTGTGTCCCCTATCCTCAGACCCCAGTGACCTGAGTTCCCTCACCCCTGCTCACTTCATGATTGGAAGAACATTGATAGCGGCGCCAGACGAAAACCTCATGGATGTCAAGTTAAATCGTCTCACAAGATTTCAGTTGATGCAGAGGCTTTGCCAACACTTTTGGAAGCGATGGGAACGAGACTACATTGTTGAACTTCAGAGACGACAGAAATGGAAGACTGGTCATGGTGAACTTTCCGAAAACCAATTAGTTCTAATCAAGGATGACCAATCCCTTCCCAGTGAATGGCGTCTTGGACGAATAGTCAGTCTACATAAAGGTCAAGATGGTACAGCTCGCGTTGCCTCGATAAAAACAAGTGCAGTTGAAGTTTGAAAGCTTAGGCTTTCCAAAGGAGGCGGCATGTTCGCGCCGAGTACTTTGAAATAAATGTGGATTTCAAGCCTAGTGACTCCATCTGTGAAACAGTGATTAAATTAATCTATTTTGTTCACCCGCTGTTGCAAGTAGGAAGATTTCTTTTGTTATGACGTTTCAATACTATAAATTATGTTATCCTTTTGT